GGGGATATGCCCGCAACCAAGGTACATGCCCTTGACCGGAATCGAACCCGGGACCCCTCAGTCCCCAAGCCGATGCTCTATCCATTGAGCCAAACCGGTCTCGACAACCTTTAAAAATTTTTAAAGATATTGCTGGTGTGTAGAAATGCAAATTACTTTTTTAAAAACATTTTTTATTTTGGAATAGTTTTAGATTTATAGAAAAGTTGCAAATATAGCACAGAGAATTCCCATATACAATCACCCAGATTCCCCAAATATTATCATCTTGTGTAATCACTGTACATACCTTAAAAAGTCAACATTGGTACATTACTACTAACCAAACTTCAGACTTTGTGCAGATTTCCCGTTTTTCACTGCCGTCCTTTTTTCTATTCCAGGGTTTCATGGAGGTCCTACATGACATTGAATCAGTGTCTCCTTAGTCTCCTCAGGTCTGTGACAGTTAGTTCTTGGCTGTTGTTTTGTTTATTTTTATGACCTTGACAGTTTTGAGGAGTACTTGTCAGGTATTCTGTAGAATACTACTGAGTCTGATTTTCTTTTATTTATTAATTTTTTAAAATATATTTTTATTGATTTTTTACAGAGAGGAAGGGAGAGAAATAGAGAGCTAGAAATGTCAATGAAAGAGAAACATCGACCAGCTGCCTCTTGCACAGCCCCTACCGGGGATGTGCCCGCAACCAACATACATGCCCCTGACCAGAATCGAACTTGGGACCCTTCAGTCCACAGACTGGACGCTCTACCACTGAGCCAAACCGGTTTCTGCCTGAGTCTGATTTTCCTCCCGCCTCATGATTAGATTGGGGTTATGAGTTTTGGGAAGAAAGGCAAGGAGGTCAAATGTCCTTCTTATTGCATCACATCAGATAATTCATGATATCAGCATGACATAACTGGCATTGTTAACCTTGGTCATTTGGGTTGAATGGTATCAGCCAGGTTTCTCCAGTGGACAGTTACTGATTTCATCCTCTGTTTTTTCAAATCAATTAATTAACAGGTATTTGAATGTTCTATGCAAAGGCCCACATTCAGCACTGAAGGAGACAAGTGAAACTCTTGAACATAGGAGGCAGTCAACATTTTGTTGTAAAATTTGCAGTTTGGTGGGGTAGGGGCTGGGAGGAGGGGGGGAAGGAGGGAAAAGGAGATACCTGTAATACTATTAATAATAAAAATATATTTTAAAAAATTTGCGGTTCATTGGGAGTTTCTAATAGTTGTCTCAGTCTTTGTAGTGGTGGAAAGGCAAAAGAGCAAATGGGCCTCAAAACGGGTAGGAGACGCACATGGTAGTTACATTCCAATTACTCAATCCTCTTTGCCTCAAAATCCACTCATTCGTTCAACAAAATAATTAAAGTGCCCGCTGTGTGCCTAGTACTGTTTTAGGTGCTAGGAATATGGCAGTAAATAAAACACATCTCCTCATGAAGATATGGTTTAGTTGGAAGACAAATAAATGAGTTAAATATGTGATATGCTAAACTAGGGAAAGGGACTGGAAATTGTGCACCAGTGTGCTTGTATCAGTGGGTGGGGTGGGTTTGGGGCTGGTTTTCAATAGTGTGTGAGGGAGCATCTCAGCCAGAAGGTGATAGTTAAGTCAAGACCTGCAGAATGTGAGGGAGTGAGCCATGTGGATGTGGGGGTGACAAAGCCAGGCAGGGGAAATGGCAATGCAAAGGCCCTGAGCTGGAATGCCTGACATGTTCAAGGAACAGTCAGAAGGAGGCTGGTGAGAACGAGGAAGAGAGGTAGGAGATGAGGTTTGAGGGGTCAGAAGTTGTAGAGTGCAGAATGAGTTATTTTGTAGTTGAAGTTAGGAAGCCATCCAAAGAATTTCCACCAAAGGAGTGACTACAGACTGTTGGGAGGAGGGACAAGGGTGGAAACAGATTAGGAGAGAAATATGGTAGTTTGGACTATATCAATGAATGGATGGGAAGGAGTTAGATTCTGGGTAAAGGATTCAAGTTTGAGAGGAAGGTAAAAAGAGATGAAAGAAAGTCTCTCTGAATTTATAGTAGTAAAATGCAACTTTCCTCATTTAAAAATACCACTTTTCAGGGGGAAAAAAGATAAATGAAATTAAAAATGAGTAAAGGACTTGACAATTCTCCAAAGAATATGCACAAATGGCCAACAGGTATATGAAAAAGTGCTCAACATCACTAATCACTAGGAAAATGCAAATCAAAACCTCACACCCATTAGAATGGCTACTAAAAAATACAGTAAATGTTGGTGATGATGTGAAGAAATTAGAACCCTGTGCACTGTTTGTGGAATGTAAAATGGTGCGGACATTGTGGAAAACAGTATGGAGGTTCTTCAAAAAATTAAAACTAGAATTAATACATGATCCAGCATTTCCACTTCTGGGTATATATCCAAAAGAATTTAACCAGTTAAATGCTACGATATTTTGAATTTAATTTTAAAAGGTCCGCCATGTGTGTCTATAGCCACTTCTGGCATACAAATGGTTAAAGTATAAATTGAGTTGGTTTCCCCATAGTACTGTGAATAAAAAGGCTGTTTTCACAAATCATTGGTCCACAGGAAATCTCTAGTTTTGTGCTTTATTTTCTCTAGTAATAGGAAATGAACTTTCAATAAAAAGTACATGGGGACTTTGAGCAACTGGTTTATTTTTCATAGAACTGAAGTGCAGGTGGGAAGGGGCAATTCCTAGAATATCTGGAGGATCTGAGTAAATGAATTTCTACCTAAGCTATTAACTTACAATAACTGAAAAGAGATCATTTGTCTCCTACAATGGACTTTCAAATTAAATATAAGAGAAACTCAGGCAGAGAAAATAAATGCAGAAAAAAATTTTGACATTATACTGCAGCTAACGAACATTTAAAATATTCTTTCTCTTGCATTAATTATCTGGCTGTTGGAGAGGGAAAATGACATTCTTCCCCCACCAGTTTATACAGAATTCAGACCCAAAGTAAAGCGATATGTGCACCCTCATTAGAAAGATAGAAAGGAAAAACCTACAGTATGCAATTTTTTAAAAAAATGTATATTTTTATTGGTTTCAGAAAGAAAGGGAGAGGAAAAAAACATCAATGATGAGAGGGAATCATTGATTGGTTGCTTCCTGCACACCCCCTACAGGGAAGAAGCCTGCAACCCAGGCATGTGCCCTTGACCAGAATTGAACCGGGACTCTTCAGTCCATAGGCGGAAGCTCTATCCACTGAGCCAAACCAGCGAGGGCCAGTATACAGTTTTTATTTTTTTAAATATATTCTATTGATTTTTTTTTTATAGAGAGGAAGAGAGAGGGATAGATACGGTAGATAGAAACATCAATGAGAGAGAATCATCCATCAGCTGCCTCTTGCACAACCCCTACTGGGGATGTGCCTGCAACCAAGATACATGCCCTTGACCGGAATCGAACCTGGGACCTTTCAGTCCGCAAGCCGAGGCTCTATCCACTGAGCCAGATCGGTTTCGGCAGTATGCAATTTTTAAATAAATGTCTCTATGGGGACCTTAGGTCAACAAAATTATGCACTTTAAAATCTGAGGTTAACAAGGCGCTTCAAAATAACCAGGGTTATTGCTATTGCCTGTGATGGAACAGATCACGTAAACATTGCTATGTACTTGAAAATTCATGGACTAGACTGTTTTGTTTGTTTTTGTGGTTTTGTTTGTTTTGCAACAGTTTAATAAGAGATGATGATGCCACTAACTGCACTTGTCTGCAGGCAGTTAAAACTCTGAATGTCTTTATAGTCGCTTTGAATGGTTTGAATGTTTGCTATTTCTGGGCAATCGTGGGGCAAAGAACCGCCCTGGAAGAAAAAGTCAAGTACGCTTTGTGCTAACGTGGGAGAGAGTTGTCGAGCCTCTGGATCAGTGAAAGAAGGAAAAGAAAAAGACAACTTTTTTTTTTTTTTTTTTTTTTTTTTTTTAGTTCTTGCCTTGCTCTTGCTGGTTTGGTGCACAAGCCCCCAAGAAGTTCAGGTACCCGGCCTGGCAAAGTAAGGAGCGAGGAGAGGCGTCTGCAGAGGCAGACAGGACGCAATCGTCCGCCGGCGGCGGTGTTGGGCGGACTCCGGCGCTAGATCCGCTTCCTCCCGCGTTTGTCAGAAGCTCTCCCCTCGCCGCCTCTCAGGAGGGTGGGCGGGAGGGGGAAAGGAGAGAAGAGAGAAGGGAAAGCAGTCACTGGGTCCCCGCGGGCGGTCCCTGGGCGTCGGCAGCCCCGCGAGTGGGCGGGGCCAGTCGGCCCTTTGGCCCCGCCCTCCGGGCGCGGGGGCGGGGCTTGCCCGGAGCTGCCCGCTTCCAACATGGCGGCCCGGGAGGCGGGTTCCTTTCCCCGGCTCCCGTGGTGGTTCCGGGGCCGCGCAGTTTGGTTCCGGAGTAACTGTGCCCTAGCTGCCGCCTTTCTGCTTCTGCTTCTGCCCCTGCTCCTGCCATCGCCGCCGCCGGGACGCACGGCCTCGGGCGCCGGCGCTGAGCCCGCGGGTCCGGCTCGCGTTGGGGCGGAGGGCTGGTCCCCAACACGCCCGCGGGGGGCCCCCCTTGGCTTTCCCGTAGTCTGGCGGCCCCGGGGCTTCCTCACAGCCTGGGACCCAGTCCGCTACCGTCTGGGATCCCCCCACCCCCCTCGTCCGCTGAAGAGGGGTGCACCCCTGCCGCCGAGTCCCCCTAACACGAGGGCCACGAGGGCTTCCTCTGCCATCTCCTCTCATCCGGCCCCGTTTTGCCCTCTTTCCCAACTCGACAACCTTCTGACCCCGCTAGTTCCTCTTGCCCCTGCCCTCCACCCCGCCAGGCTCCTGGGAGACAGCCTCACCCCCCCCCCCCCCAGCGGGGCTAGGAGGGTGCCTCCTCTCTAATACCCCTCGCTCTCTGCCCCCCTCCCCTCCTCATCCCCCTCGCCACCCCTTGGAGCCCCCGCCCAGCCAGGGGCCATGGACACCCCCCACCCCAGGACGTGAGCCCCTTTCCCTGTGATGCTGTGGCTGGCCTTTGGCCCCTCCCATGCCATGGAGAACCAGGTGCTGGTGATTCGCATCAGGATTCCAAACCGGGGCGCCGTGGACTGGACGGTGAACTCCGGCCCGCAGTTACTCTTCAGGGATGTGCTGGTGAGTGTGTTCCTCTCGGGGTGCAAACCCCAGCGAGGGGGGCGCAGGCGGGTCTCTGGGGCAACCAGCACCGGACCCCTGACTCTGACTTGGCCTTGGCCTTCTAGGGGGGCCAGTTTCATTGCTTCGGCCACAAGCATTGATTCGTTGCATGGGCACAAATCTGGCGAAATGTGCAGCGCCCTGGGGAAATGAAGATGGTCAGAGTGAGCCCCTGCCCTCAGGTAGCTCACAGCCTGAATCGGGTGGGACAGAAGCAACTGGGGTCCTGAAAACTGAGTCGAGAAGAGAGTTTTTCTCAAGTGATTTTTGGAATGTTCCTGGCCGGATTCCAGCCACGACTTTCTACTGAGTTCCCTGGACTTGGTGACCAGCAGGAAAGGGAAACAAGGCAGCTGTATCTCTCATGTTTCACCAAAAACAAGGTGTCATTCGTTTTAAGATGTTATTTTAAGTACCTCTAAGAAAGCATACACACACACACACACACACACACACACGCACACGTAGGTACACGCACACACGCTACTCTCAAAACCGTGACATGCCACACATTGTACAAAACCAGCTTGATTTCAGAGATATTAAAATAGGGGGAAATGTGCATTTTAGAATCAGTGATGTATTCTTGCTTTCATAATAAATACTCGGGATGTGTCTGAAATAAAATCATGGAATGTGAGAGCACCTGCTTGGGGGTGGCCTGTGGAGCCCTCTTACCTTCCTTTGCAGATAGTAACTGAGAAGCAAGCAATGAGGTGAAGTGACTTTTTCAATGCCCTGTTGCTTGAGTTGGGGAGTCAGTCCGAGAGCCCAGATTTCCTTACTTAGTATTTATTTCTACACAGTGCCTTTCTCATATTTTAGCATTCATTTGAGATAGACAATGTATTGTGCCCATTTTATTGGATAACTGAGGTATGAAAGGCAGAGCTGACACATACCAAGAAGCACATTGCAAATACCAGATCCATCTTATCTACATGCAAGGTAAGATTGGGCTGCGACCAAAACCGGTTTGGCTCAGTGGTAGAGCGTCGGTCTGGGGACTGAAAGGTCCCAGGTTCGATTCCGGTCAAGGGCACGTACATTGGTTGCGGGCACATCCCAGTGGGGGGGGGGGGTGTAAGAGGCAGCTGGTCGATGAATCTCTCTCATCGACGTTTCTAGCTCTCTATTTCTCTCCCTTCCTCTCTGTAAGAAAAATCAATAAAATATATTAAAAAAAAAAAAAAAAGATTGGGTTGCGATGAGATTTTTTGGTTATCATAGGTTACCCAATCAAAATGTGATTTCTGTATCTTTGTCTTGAGTTCTGGATGTTACTGACCACTCAGACCATACAGATTTTCAGGTGTCTGGCCCAGGAGTGCAGAGGCTAGAGTCCACTCTTGTACACCAGATGCCATCCTCTTTGCATCTAGAGTTCTCCACACACTCCCATGCACATAGGTGTCCTCTCATACTAAAGGGCCAAACTCCTTCGTATGGTCCTCTGAGCCCATCTTCATTGGCTCATCCTTGCCTGGCACCAGCTTCATTGCTCACCACAACCCAATGAGCGTCTGTGCTCCAGGCATTTAGAACTGACCTAGGTCCCCACGCGGCCCTTCAGCTGGCCATCTCCCACCTGTCCTTCAAAGCTCAGCTTCACCTTCCACTTCAGTCTGGTTCCTTGCCCCTCCTCAGGGTTTCCACGGCTCTGTTCTGGCAAAGCACACAGGCTGTGTCATAATTTTGTCTGTCTCTCCACTAGATGGTAAACTTCTGGAGGAGATGGCCATCTCTGGGTCCCCTCTGTGTCTGGTGCATAGGACCTCGAAATATTTGTTAAGTGAGGGATCTTCAAATAGGATGCATGCAATTATGGTTTTATGGGCAGCACACTAGGTTTTGAATTTTTTAAAAATTTGGGTTTAATAGCAAGCAGTCTCACTAACTAGACAAGCCATTCTACCTTTCTGAGCCTGTTTCCATGTAAAAGAGGGATAGTTGTGAAGATTACATGAGATTGTGTCTATAGGAAGCATGAGCTCACTTTCACTTATTTGAGAAAGAGGTTTTAAATAATATGGTATAACATTTATTTAAAGACAAACTCTAGAGCCATTTACTTAAAGACAAACTGCTTGAGTTTAAATTGTAAGCTCTATCAGGCAAGTGTCTCAGTTTCTTCATCTGTTATTTGTGTGTATGTTGTGTGTCTCAAGGATGTTTTTTCCATTGATTTTTAGAGAGAGTGGGAGGAAGGAAGGAATAAAGGGATACATATATACATATACATATATATGTACATATACATATACATATCATACACACTATATATATATTAGAGGCCCAGTGCACCATTGAAATCGCGAGACAAGGCGCCCCACCTCTCACCATGCAAGAAAGCACCCCGTGGGCAGCTGGAACCCATGCCTGACTCACGGCGCCCCCTGGCCACCCTGCCTGTGTTCACTCTGGGGCCACCTGAGCCGCCCCGCTGGCTCTGGCAGGGCCCTGTCTCTGTCTCTGTGTTTGTCACTGCTCTTGGCCTCACCTGCGGGTGCAAACCTCGTCCTGTCTGATCATGACCGATTACGACAATCAGGCCTAATTTGCATGTTACACACACACACACACACACACACACACACACACACACACACACGAGACTCAGGGCACGAAATTTGTACATGGGGGTTGAGGGGTTTGGGGGTGGCCCTCAGCCCATCCTGCACCCTGTCTAATCTGGGACATCTTCTCACAAACCAGGACTGCTGGCTCCCAACTGCTAGCCTGCCTGCCTGCCTGATTACCCCTAACTGCTTCTGCCTGCCAACCTGATCACCCCCTAACCACTCCCATGCCATCCTGATTGATGCTTAACTGCTCCCCTGCTGGCCCGATTGTCCCTAACTGCCCTCCCCTGCCAGCCTGGTCATCCCCTTCCCCCACAACTGCCCTTCCCTGCCAGCCCAGTCACCCCTAACTGCTCTTCCCCTGCAGGCCTGGTTGTCCCCAACTGCCCTCTCCTGCATGCCTGGTCTACCCAACTGCCCTCCCCTGCACGCCTGGTCCCCCCTCAACTGCCCTCCTCTGCCGGCCCAGTCACCCCTAACTGCCCTCCCCTGCTGATCTGGTCCCCCCCCAACTGCTCTCCCTGCAGGCCTAGTCCCCCTAACTGCCCTCCCCTGAAGGCCTGGTCCCCCCCAACTACCCTCCCCTGCAGGCCTGGTCCCCCCACTGCCCTCCCCTGCAGGCCTGGTCCCCCCTCAACTGCCCTCCTCTGCTGGCCCAGTCACCCCTAACTGCCCTCCCCTGCTGGTCTGGTCCTCTCCAAATGCCCTCCCTGCAGGCCTATTCCCTCTAACTGCCCTCCCCTGCTGGTCTAGTCCCCCTCAACTGCCCTTCCTGCAGGCCTCGTCCCCCTAACTGCCCTTCCTGCTGGCCTGGTCCCCCCCAAACTGCCCTCCTCTGAAGGCCTGGTCCCTCCCAGCTGCCCTCCCCTGCAGGCCTGGTTCCCCCCCCCCCCAACTACCCTCCCCTGCTGGCCTGATTGCCCACAACTGCCCTCCCCTGCTGGTCATCTTGTGTCGACCATCTGTGTCCACATGGGGGTGGCCATCTTGTGCATTGGAGTGATGGTCAATTTGCATATTACCTCTTTATTATATAGGATAGAGAGAGAGAGAGGTTGCTGTGAGACACATTGTGTAGTTGCCTCCCACACACAATAGCTCAACTGGGGCCAGGGATGGAACATGCTACACCGGAATGTGCTCTTGAGCGGAAATCGAACCTGAAACCCTTTGATTCATGGGCTGACACTCTAACCATTTAGCAACACTGTCCAGGGCTCTTCATCTCTTTGTTTGTTTTTGTTTTTAAATGGGGGGCTGGAGGGGTAAATATGCCTACTCACAATTCGGAGGACTGCTGGAGTTGGTACATCTGAAGCACTTAGAACAGCCTGGAGCATAGTAAGTGCCCGTGATGGTGGTGGTGGTGCTGTGACATAAGGATAGGGCCCGTGTCTCCTGCTTCTCAAGCATCTCTCAGTTGCATTTTGCCTCAAGGCTGCCTGGCCTACCAGTAAACTGCACAAACGGCCCCACCATCTAGGGCACAGAGCGCCGTGTCCTCACACATGCTGCTCGGTAAGCTCAGGGGCAGCACGTTTGTCGGAAGGCCAGGTGAAGGGCTGTGCAGTGGGTGCTGCCCTCTCTCCTGGTGCTCCTTCAAGTTCTTGGAACCGGAAGCCCAGATCCTGGAGACTCCTGTGATCTCTTCTCCAGATTCGTCTCATCTCTTCATCGAGAAATTAGCAAAATACCAACAGATAACCTCAGCAGTTCTGTCTTGGAACTTTAAAAATTAAAGCCAAATGGAACCTGAAAGCTTCTCCTTCATCTAATGCAACCCTCCTCTCCCCAGTTTTCAAATAAGGAAGCATGGGCCCCAGAGGGGGAAATGCTGAAGTTATACAGCTGGTTTTTGGCACGAAAGGCACAGAAGGCAGAGTTTGTAGGCAGAGTCCGCTGGAACTGATTGTGATTTGGAACAGGAGTGAGTACTCCAGGGCTCCAGTCACAGCTCAGCAAATAGCTGGAAACCCTGGGCAAGTCCCTTGACCACTTTGGGCCGGTGCCCTGTGTCCGGATTGACTAGGGACTGGCTGCAATGTGAGGTAGACCCAAGTGGTGCTCAGGGGCAGAGTCATTTGGATGATCTGCTCTCAGCTTTGTGTGTTTCTCTTCTTCCTTGGATACTCTGGGCACAGCTTGGAGAAAATTGCGCAGGAGACCTGAATCTCCTGAGTTAGTGAGAGGTAGGAGAGCATGTCAGCTCTTTCCTCATGCTGTTTGAATCCTGTCTCCCGAGTCCCAGCTCAGATTTTCCTTGTGCGAAATTCCTGTTTTTCCCCTCCTCCTGAGTTAGCAAATGCTACTACTATTTATAGGATTCTTTGGTTTGGCTCTACCATTCTGTAAATACTCTGTATTGTTAGTCTTCTAGGTTTGTCTTCATCTCTGTGACCAGATTCAGTTCTTCCGAAATCTTATTTTTCTGTCGCCTACAGCGTTGTGTTCTTGATGCTCCTAGTACATTGTAGATGGTTAATTATATTTTGGGGCTGTCAGACGTTCGCCTCATTTATTGAAAGGAAAGAGAGGGAAAGAATGAAGAAATGATCATTATCAAGATATTTAAACTTAAGTTTTCTTTGAAACCTCAATAGGTCGCTTTGAAATAAATCACTTAAACGGTAACTGGAAATTACGAATAAAATTATCAAATGTGCCCTGCTTAGCTATGACCAGTAGATATTGACTAATTTTCAGACCTTTTACGCTTTGGTCCTTATGATAGCCCCCCTTTTATTGTCATAACAAAACAGGATGACTCTTTCCCGCCGGTGTGCTTTTGCTTTCTCCTTTCCTCCATGTGAGATGTAAAGCACATGTGGCTCCTTGTTTATGTTGATGGGCAAAGGATGTCACTGCTGCCCAGCAGGTCTTCAGTTAGTTATTTAGAGATTTGCTGTTTAATGGGGTCTGCTCTTCAGAAGTAGGAAATGTCCTCCATGAGTTTGCTAATAACTGTGGAGTTCATGTCTCAAGACTGGTTGTCTGAATGGTCGGAGTTCCTGGAAGTAAGCAGTGATCATCTAGATTTGGAGTGTTGGGGGTAGAGTCCTCTGTTTTGTTTGTTTCTTTTTTACCATACTGGCTGGAAAAGGTCCTCAGTAAGCACTGTGGAAGGCTGAAGTAAGTGAGCGAATGACCATCCTCCACTGATGGTTGGGTGCTAAATTTTAAGGATTCCTTATGAAGTAAGTTTTGTAATGTTCCAGTCATCAGTGACTAGTTTTATTTATTTAACAAACATTAACATGGGTACGAGCTAGACATTCTTCTAAGCACTTTACAGATATTAACTCATTTAGTTCTACAAGGTTGGTACACTTGTGATTGTATTTTACACAGAAGGGAACTGAGGCTTCGTCACTTAGCTAGTGAGTGGCAGAGCCAAGATCCAGCCCCAGCAGTTTGGCTCCAGTCGACCCTCTCAGGCTTTTTACACTGGCTGGCTGTGTAGTTTACTTCATACTCGCTCTATAGTACCCATTTACCTGTCAATAAATACAAGTGTGTAGAAAGAATTAAAAAATTATTTAAATATGTTTTCATTGATTTTAGAGAGAGAGGAAGAGAGAAACATCGATTCGCTGTCTCCTGGAAAAATTGACCCTCTATTATATCCAGTCCAACTCAAATAGTTTGCAAAACTCATTGCTCTCTGGTAGCTCTGGGGCTCTGCCAGATCCTACTGGGGATCCCAACCCAGCCAGGCATATGCCATGACGGGGAATCAAAGCAATGACCTCTCGGTGCATGGGACAACACTCAACCAACTGAACCTCACCGGCCAGAGCTTTTTTTTTCTTTTCTCTTTTTTCTTAAATTTGATTCTTAGAGAGAGAGAGGAAAGGAGGGAGGGAGGTTGGAAAGGGAGGAAGAGGGGAGAGAGAGAGAGAGAGAGAGAGAGAGAGAGAGAGAGAGAGAGAGAGAGAGAGAGAGAGAGAGGGGAGATCTGTTGTTCCACTTATTTATGCATTCATTGGTTGATCCTTGCATGTGCCCTGAAAGGGATTGAGCCCAGAGCCTCGGCATATGGGGAGGACACTCTAACCAACTGAGCTACCCCGCCAGGGCTAGAAAGAATTTTTTTTAACACTAAAATCTTTGACAAATAATTCCTTTAAAAGTTGATGTTTCATTTGCTTATATGAGTTAGAGGGCAAAATAATCTCCTTTGGTCCTTAATGAATGAGGGCTGCCTAAGATAGTTCCCTTAGATTAATTTTATATGCAGATTTATTTTTGAAAGAAAAGAAAAAAAGGCACTGTAGAGGCAAGGCTATTATGCAAATTGCTACTGCAGCAAAGGCTTCTAAAGAACTGCCTTTAGAAGGAAGTTGCAGCAGCCAGTCTGCTAAGTGCCCCACTTGGAGGGGTTGAGGGCTCCCCGCTGAGAAATACTTCCCACTGTCTTGTGGGCCGGCTGCCTGGTCCCAGCTCTGGCACAGCCCAGGAGGGACATAGAGGCAGAGCTGCCAGAGAGCAGTGAGGTTTGCAGATTTAGGTTGGACTGGACATAATGGAGGGTCACTTTTCCCAGAACTATTTCTCGAAGGTGTTCTGTGCTCCTTTAAGCTCTCTCTGTAGACTAATTATCGTGTTTTCAACTTCATAGATCCCTTTAAACAATGATAGCAGATTATATATAGTTTTAAAAAATTTTCGTAGGCTAGATGAACTTTATTTTAGTGTCATTACATATTTTTCAGTTGATTAAGAGTCAAGGTTGATATGAATTGTTTGTATTACACGTAGCTGTATAGGTTTATATCATCACAGAAACTGGTTTTTTGAGCCTTTCTCACTATGAATGCAAGGCAAGGTATGGCTAGTTACATATCAGAAATTACATTTGTTGAATGTCTACAATGTATTAGGCTAGCTTATGTTTATTATATTTTTAATTTAATTTTTATATTACCTCTATGAGTATTACTAGACCCATATTGGAGGGTAATGAAACGGAGACTCAGAGATTCGTTCCCATTCACACAGCTAGTAAGTGCAGAGCTGAGATTCAAACCCAGGCCAGTCTGACTCCCAAACCCCTTACTCTTCCTACTGCAGTACACTCCACAGCCTCCCATAGGAGAAACCAATTTTTTTATATAAATACACAATAATGTATTTGTATAGACTGTTGAATTGAGAAGGCAATATTATGTTATTAATACAAAGTAGAAAAGATTTCATAAAAATTGCATCACCCTCCCTCCCCCCTCCTCCTCTAATAGAGATTTAAACTCTGGGCTTATATTTTGGAGCTAAGTATGATTGTGAGCTAATGTTTTTATAGCTTATGCCCACATTTCAAAAATCTTTTCCAGGTTCTCATATTTCCGCTAGGATTTGCCACATGTTAGCAATAAAGAAGATGGCTAATTGTGCTTCTTTATTCTTTCTTTGTTTAGGATGTGATAGGCCAGGTTCTGCCTGAAGCAACAACCACAGCATTTGAATGTAAGTCTGGCTTGTATACTCTCTTGACTGTTTCCTCCTGCAGTGATTTTTCAAGGGGTTTATGGGTTGCATTAGTTTAGAAACTGACAAAAACACATTATTTATGATCATCATATGGTACATTTAAATATTTATAAATTAATGCAAGTTTAATGATGATACTTAACTGAGTAATATTTTCTTATTTAATCATATCTTGGGTGTGCATATTTCTATAATATAGCTTTAATTACCAACATGACCTTTATCTGCTCTTGCTCCTCACTGTAATAATATTGTGGTGTAAAATGAAACCTGTAAACTACCTGTAGGCCAATGATTATTGATTAAGAGGTTTTAGTCCATTGCTGCTTTATAACAGCCACAGAGCAGAGCTTTTAAGTGAACATTGAATGGAATAATTCTGTTTTAGTGAGGCTTGGCACGGCTGCTAGATGATGGCAGCAACACTTCAGATCTTAAGTCCTTTCCCCACACCACCCTCCACACCAAAGCATTGGCTTGGGGACCGGGGACAGGGCAGGGGCAGGGGACTAGAAAACTGGTTTTGATCTGAGGCAGGTCACTGCAGGAGAGGTCAGGGTCTGAATAACGTTAAGGTAAGAATTTAGTCAGTAGCTCTGGTGTTGAGAAGGATAATGGATTTGTAACTGTAGTTCCCATTTTTTTTTAAAAAAAGAGGAGGGCCACTTTCCATGTGGAAAAATGTATTGTTTTTCCACATAATGCACTTTTTGATCTGATCTTGTATTTTAAGCAGATGGTTAATGACAGAGAGTACATTGTCCTGTGTTTTACTTGTGTTCTTTTTGGAGGACAATTTGGCTTACCAAAATATAAAATGTGTAAAACCTTTGACTCAGCAGATCCATTTTTAGGAAGCTATTCAACAGAAAAACCTAAACATATGTTGAATGCCCTTCAAACAAACTGTTCATTGTGGAATTATTTTTAATAGGAGAAAGTTAAAAGTAAGCTAACTGCCTAAAATAATAGGTTAATAAGTTATACATCTGAATCATTAGGCAGTGGGTATAAAGAATGCATAAGGATTTTATGCATTGGCATGGAAAGATACCCATAATATATTATTGACTAAATAAATAAAATATTTGGTAAGATCCTGTCTTGTGAAAAAGCTAATCTCTCCTCCTTCCAACTTCATGAATACAAAGTGTTCAAAAAAAAAAAAAGTATACACACTTTAACAGCTGATAGCTCAATTTTGAAAATGAAATGTATTTTAATAAAGCACTGCCATTGTTATTATTCAACGTGTGTGTATATACATTTTTGGGGACACCCTACATATTGAGACAAGGATCTGAAGTTGCTGCAGTGCTTTCTAATGATTTTCCCTGGAAAGGCTACTTGGAGGCTGGAGTGGGGGCTGAATGAGCACACTTTTTCCTTTACTTATTTCTCTATTTGGATATTTTTCAATAATTATTACATGTTTTTAAAAGCTACTTGAATAGAACTCTTAAAATAATTACAATCTTACTAAAAATAGTACATACATCTGAAATACACATTAGTGTTGCAAGCTCTTTAGACCCCTTGCAGTAACTCCTTGGGGGTGCCAGGGATTTCATGGACAGTCTGATAGTTAACAATAGGAGTACTTGCTGTTACTAGATGCTGTGCTAAGAGCATTCCATGGGTTATCTCATTTAATTTAACCTTCACAGGATCCCCACAAAGCACTTTGACAGCCTGTTATTAGCTCTATTTTAGTTGAAGAAAGGACATCTCTAAGACCTGCTCAGAGTCTTATAGCTAGAAAATGGTAAAGGGCAATTTCTGGAGTAGACTCCAGAGCATATCCTATCTAATAAAAGAGTAATCCGTTACACCCACAAGCCATGCCCACCAGCCAGTCAGGAGTGAGTATGCAAATTAACCCCACCAAGATGGCTGTGGCCATGGAGCAAGCAGGAGGCTTGTGTTTCCCTGGCAACGGAGGAAGCCAAGCTTCCTGCACACCCTGGCTGGCTGAGGCCTCTGCTCAAGGCTGCAAAGTTTCAATTATAAAAGATAAGTAAATTCCAACAAAAATGGCTGTGGGCCACGGAGCGAGCATGAGGCTTGGGCTTCCCCAGCCATGGAGGAAGCCAAATTTACTGGCCCGCCCTGGCCTCTGCTCAAGGCTACAAAGTTTCAATTATAGAAGATAAATAAATCCCAGATACCAGGGCCTCCACTTGGGTCGCCAATGTGCGTGGCCTGCAAACCACCACAGGCCCCTCACCTAGGCTGCCCCAAACCCCAAGGGAATCCCCATCCTGATCTAGGACATCCTTCAGGACAAATCAGCTGGCCCCACCTGTGCACCAGGCCTCTATCCTATCTAATAAAAGAATAATATGCAAATTGACCATCACTCCAACACACAAGATGGCTGTTCCATGTGGTCAAAGATCCTGCCCCCATGTGGACACAAGATGGCCACCACAAGATGGCCAGCAGGGGAGGGTAGTTGGGAGGGATCAGGCCTTCAGGGGAGGGCAGTTGTGGAGTTTGTGGAGTGACCAGGTCAGCAGAGGAGGGAAGGGAAGTTAGAGGTGACCAGGCCTGTAGGGAAGGGCAGTTGGGGGGGACCAGGCCTGCAGGGGAGGGCAATTAGGGGTGACCAGGCCTGCAGGGGAAGGCAGTTGGGGGGGGGGGGAGAGGGAGGACCAGGCCTGCAGGGGAGGGCAGTTAGGAGCAATCAGGCTAACAGGGGAGCAGTTAGGCATCAATCAGGCTGGCAGGGGAGTGATTAGGGGGTGTTCAGGCTGGCAGGCAGAAGCAGTTAGGGGCAATCAAGCAGGCAGGCAGGCGAGCAGTTGGGAGCCAGCAGTCCTAGATTGTGAGAGGGATGTCAGGCTGCTGGTTTAGGCCCAATCCTACCAGGTTCAAGCCTAAACAGGCAGTCGGACATCCCTTGAGGGGTCCCAGATTGGAAAGGTTTCAGGCTGGGCTGAGGGACACACACTCCTGTGCACGAATTTCATGCACCGGGCCTCTAGTACATATATATCCTCAACTACTGCTGAGATTTATTTTGAGATTTTTCATAATTATTGAAATCATGTATTCTGATTGTTCTTAAGTGTGGCAGAAAAGAAGCTTTCTACTTTCTACTTCTTGCTTTCTGGGTCCCCCAAAGTGGCTCAATGTACCTGTGCTCCACAGGATTCAAGAGTTAGGTTCTTAGTAATAATACTGATAACTTTAGCTATCATTTATTGATGGCCTGCTTTGTGCCAGGCAGTGTACTACATGATTGATTTAGATTGTTGCTAATCTTTACAACAGGCAAGGTAGGAAAATTATACCTGTGAAGAAACTGAAACTTTGAGACATGAATGATTGCTAAAGTTGATCAACTAGGAGGTGGCGGAGCCCAGATTCAAACGCAATTCTTTTTGAGTGTAAAATTTATTCTGTTCATAATTAAACATGTCAAAAGCCTGTAAAGTGTGTTAAGTATGTTTTATATGGTTTATAGTTTATGGGTATGATGGAACAAACTCTTGAAAATTAAACTTTGATCAAAGAAATATTTAATACTGAAAAGTATACCTAGCTCTAACACAAGAAATGCTTAAATTTTTAGGTTTAAGTTCTTAGACGTCTCATTATCTTTCTCCCCTCTCCGCGCCCCCCCCCTCCACCCCCACCCCAACACACACACTTACCTGGCAGCAGCTCTGTGTCCATCTGCATCTGGACCAGTTTTAGGTGAAAAAAATAAATAAAAACAAAAATATGCACAGACAAAATATTGATAGTTTTTTTGTGCTTAGATTATTGATAGACCTAAAATCCTAGGCTGGCTTTTTTCCCCCGTGATTATTCTAAGATGACCTTATTTTCTGAATTAATAAATGGAATCTATGACAAAAGGGTAACATGCTAATTAGACTGGGAGACCTTCAGAGAGACCTTCCGGATGTCCTTCTGGACAAAGCCATGGTGGGCAGGCCGAGGCAGAAGCAGTTAGGGGCAATCACGCCAGGAGGGGAGGGCAGTTGGGGGTGATTAGGCTGGCAGTGGAGGGGCAGTTGGGGACAAGCAGGCTGGCAAGCAGAGTGGTTAGGGGTGATCAGACAGGCAGGCAGGTGAGTGGTTAGGAGACAGCAGTCCTGGATTGTGAGAGGGATGTCCGACTAATGGTTTAGTCCCTCAGTCAGACATACCCCGAGAGGTCCAGGTTGGAGAGGGTGCAGGCCGGGTTGGAGGACACCCCTCCCCCCTATGCATGAATTTCGTGTACCAGGCCACTAGCCCTAATATATATAAAGCCAGACGCCATCATGACGGAAACAACTGGACAGACTACTGAACAACAGGCTGCGTGGGGCAATAAGGCTGGCAGTGGGGGTTAGTGAGGGATGACCAAATGACTGAACAGCAGGCTGCGTGTGTGACCAGGACAGCAGGGAGGGTAGTTGGGGGTGACCAGGCTGGTGTGTGTGTGGGGAGGGGGGCAGTTGGGGGCAACCTAGCCAGCAGGGAGTGCAGTTGGGGGTGACCAGGCCAGTAGCAGGGGTGGTGAGGGGTGACCAGGCCAGCAAGGGGGGGCAGTTGGGAGCAACCAGGCCAGAAGGAGGGGATAGTTGGGATGACCAGGCTAGTAGGCAGAAGTGGTTAGGGGTGATCAGGCTGGCAGGGGGAGGGAGTTAGGGGTGATCAGGCAGGCAGGCAGGTGAGCAGTTAGGAGCCAGTGGTCCCAGATTGTGAGAGGGATGTCCAGCAGCCAGTTAAACTGGCCAATCAGACATCCCCCGAGGGATCCCAGATTGGAGATGGTGCAGGCCGGGTTGAGGTGACCCCCTCCACACACACACACACACACACACACACCCTGTGCACGAATTTCATGCACCAGGCCTCTAGTCTATGTATAACAAACTAGAGGCCCGGTGCACAAAATTCATGCACTCAGGGTGATTTCTCAACTCAGTCTCTGCCCTCTCTCAGTCCAGGAGCCCACGGGGGATATCCATGAGGGA